TTTAGTCCCTTCATTGATTTGCTTCTAATACCGTCGTTATTGGGCCTCCTGAAAACACGAATGATTCCATTACCTTCGTTAATCATAACTCCTAATCATAAGTAGTAATAATCAAAATAATATAAAGAACCCAAAACCAAACCTAAACTAATAAACCCTAGATAAAAAAATCGCGTTACTGTTCATTGTCTTCTATTCGTCGCTGTTCTTCGTTAGCATCACCTCCTCCTCTCGAGAAGAAGCCCTAGCCTCTTCTTCCTTGAGATCCACTATTTCGAACTCGAGCCCTCGATCCACTCCTTTTACGAGAACAACAACATCGATCAACCTCTTCAAGATTAAGACTTCGAACAAGTTGAGGACGAGATCCCTTAATCGGCGCCACCGCGGGTGGAGGTGCTCTTAATTCTATGCCATGTTTATCATAATGATTATATTTTTCTTGGTCATTGCATTTGCATCTAATTAGTTTCCCATGATTATGTGCACATTCTTTTGATGGAATTTATGTGCCTGATGGTGTCTTATTTCAAATTTTAGATGGTTCCTTTCTAGATGTTAGTAATTGAGGATGGAGATGGTGCTTGGTGGATTTCATTTGTGTGCATTGTAGAAGAATATTCCAGGCCTAAGCATTTCAAATTAGTCATAATTATGTGGATTAGTAATGTGCAGTTTCAGTCTACATGCTGCTTGTTAGGCATCCTTCTTTATGTTTAACCTTCACATGTTCATTGGTCACAGAATCATAATACTATAATTACCCTTTTCAGTATAATTGTAATGTTAGCTTGTAATGTTCATATGTCCAATGTAGTCAATGTAATCATAAGTCTTCATGTATATATGCAGTATTATCTTCTAAGTACATCACTTATAGATTACATGTATTGCATATATTTAGTTTCTTATACAGCTATATATTTGGACAAACGTTACAACCATGTATATATGCAGTATTATCTTCTAAGTACATCACTTATAGATTACATGTATTGCATATATTTAGTTTCTTATACAGCTGTATAGTTGGACAAATGTTACAACCAATATTGATGTGTAGTTGTGTGTATATATCTTATGACTAACTTTGATGTGTTTGACTAACTAACGCTCAAAACGACTATGCTTTATTCAATATGTATCGTAAATTCATGGTGAGTACAGTGCGTCAGGCAGTTATAAAGTACATTCGCACATTTAGTATATTAATTTTTTTAATGGTCATAATACCACATATTGCAACATTCCTGAAACTATGTTGCATACTACCTTTAAAGTGACATATTGTATAATTATGTGTGATGTAGTATATTTATCCTATTACTAGCATGTAATCTTGTACGATATGTCATCCATGAACACATAAAATTGTGCATTAATATGTGTAAAGTAGTTTAAGTTCATAGGTTGGTGGCATGTTCAAACTATTACATATGTAGTGAGTCATACAAGCATGTAGTGTTAGTGTGATACACACACCACCAGCATATCAGTAGAGATCATAACGATGGCATATTGTTCAAAAGTATAGGAATGTCAACAATCATATTATATTTGTATTTTTTGTTTTTGCACGAGTATCTAGCTAGTAGCATTCTCTTTACTATAACTATTCCTTTTTTAGACATGATGTTTCTTATAGGAATGTCAAAAATCTCGGGGAAGCAATCTCATGGTCACATCACTGTATTTGGTGGCGGGACTACTTTGAAAGATTTGAGAGGCCGCTTCCTAGTCGATCTGATCTGGAAGCACGAGTTATAGAAGAAAAGAGAAAGAACCAGATGCTTCAACAACGCTTAGATGAGCAGGAGAAACAACATCAACAACAATAATGGATGTTTGACTTAAAGTCGCAAGTGAAAACTATGCAGGAACTTTTTTTTAGGCAGGCATCTTCATTGACTCCTCAAACTCGAGAACATGTGCAGGACTAGGTAATTATTTTTTATGAAATCTCTTATATACTTTTATGATTGACTACTTGCACTTGAGAAAATGATATTTTTACTTAATAAGATAATAATTGCTTAATTGATACTTCTTAATTATGTGATTTCTTAAATTTTGCAGGCTATCCATGCAAGATTAGGAGGGGGGAGCTCGAGTCTTCTTTTGACGATGATTATAGATGAAAGGACGTGTCTTTCCCAGACTTCTATTTTAATTTGTTTTAGATAGTTTCACATATTTTCCTTTGGAACAATTGGGATATTAACACTTGTTATTAGTATTGAATATTTGAGGATGATGAAATTTTATTTATTGAAGTTATTAATGAATGGAGTTTTTTTATTTTTTTTATTCATTATTGGGTATTTTTAATATATTTTTGTTATGAATCTTAGTGTCATGTTGAGGATAATATGATAGTTGCCTATGAATCTCTAAGTATCATTAATATATATTAGAAATTTATAGTCTATAATGATGGTTTTATAAACCATATTTTGTTCATCAACGAAGGGAAAGCACCATCGTTGATGGGTTACTAATTACCCATAATGAGGACTTTTACGACGGTATTCAATCGTTATTAATTGGCCTTTAATGACGGGAAAATATCCCCGTAATTAATGGTAACGACGGGAAAATATCCCGTTACTAATGATAACGACGGGAAAATATTCCCGTCATTGATGGTAACGACGGGAAAATATCCCCGTCACTGATGGTAACGACGGTGATAATTACCGTCGTAAATATTAATGACGGTAATATGTTCCGTCGTTATAGACTCTATAACGACGGGTAGTATATCCCTTCGTGACCCTTTAGCGAAGAGGGCTTCAACGACGGGTGACGAAGGGATTTTTCACCGTCGTTAGCATACAATAACGAAGGTTTTCAGCTTTTTAACGAAGGGAAATCCCTTCGTTAAAGATGTAATTTCTTGTAGTGTACCCTTTGAGGACTTACCTACGTGAGAGGAACCATGATGGCCGCGGTTGGGGGGGGCAGGGCTGACCCCTAGAAACTCTCATGAGTCGGTTTATTGTGAGCATGACCTTTTACGCTCAACCCGCTTTGCTCAATAAATGAAGACGTATTGTGTGTGTTTTTATCAATATCTGATTCAAGGGGCCTAATTCAAGGCTTAGTCCATTATGTCCCTCATGTGGCGATGAACTCACTAAGAAAAGGTTCAAAGCCGAAAGCTACCTCTCCTGAATTCACGATACGTAAGGTTGCCCAACCTATTTTCTTTTTGTGATTTATTGATTTATTTATTAACTTTGAGTTTTCAGTCAATATTGCCTTTTGGGGGGGGGGACTATTGGATATTTTGTTGGAGAAAAGACAATTTTGCCTTCATGAATAGTAATAAAAATTTATAATTAAAACATGTTTTAATTAGCAATTAAAAATATGTCTAACGGCTATATAATTATGGGGAACGTTACAAAATTTATGACGAACGTTACGGAATTAATTACGGGTTTTGTAACGTCTTTTCCAACCCTATATATATCCGTATGTTGAGCTCAAAATGAGAAGAAAAAATATACAATAAGTTTCTCTTGTTTTTCTTCTCTCCCCTACATATTATTTTCATCTACATCTTAGTTTTATTTTATGGACAACTTCCTTCATCTGAGCTGAAGCTCTGCACTCTCGCCCGAGTGCAGAGGCCGGCCATTTCCGGGGGCTTTTACCGCTAGGGGGATGAAACCATCTGTGCCAGGACGATAGGCGGGTTCTCAATCTTCTAGGGCAGTGAATACACGACTGCTCCCGATCAGGCCAGTTTTAATTGTTTATTTTTCGGAATTATCTGCATGCTATAATCTTAATTATTTGATAAATTTCCAACAGAAAGTACATGAGAGAAATGAGAGAGATTGAAGATGAGAGAAGAGTAGAGAGATGAGAGAGCTTGAAGATTGAAAATGAGATGACAAGTGAGAGATGAGATTGGTTGTGTTCATGAAGAAATGGGAAGTGGAAAAAAAAGGAGGGAAGAAAATGAAGAAAGAGAGAGCATTTTTAAAACACTTGAAAAATTCAATAAAAGTTCTTCTGAAAGGTTTGATGCATCAAAGCTTTTTCAGTCAGGCTAAAAACGATAATGTACTTTTGATTGAATTCTTAAAAACAAGGTTCCCCATCTAATTTTCCCATTAAATTATATTCAGAAATATCTTATCAAACACGTATATTTAATTAATAGTTTTCTTGCTGTTTGGTTATTTCCTAAAAAACAAAAAATAGAAATGCAAACCAAGAAAACTCAAAAAGTACAATTTCACGCATTTCCATCCCTAAAACTCATCCACAACATCTAATAAAATATTATTTTTATCCAACAACTCATCCATCACATCTAATAAAATATTATTTTCATTCAACAACTCATCCATCACATCCACCACATCTAATAAAATATTATTTTCATCCACAACATCACTCAACTCATCTCATCTCATATTTAAAAATTACTCACATCATCCAATAAGATTGTGACAACTCATCTCATCTCATTAACATTTCATTTCTTTGTTTTCCTCCCAAAAAGCTAGGAAAACAATTTCCTTAAGTGTGTGTCACATCATCCAATAATATAATGACAACTCATCTCATCTCATCTCATATATTTTCTTATTTTTAAGAAATAACCAAGCAAAAGAAAACAACCTATTACAAGAAATAGGTTTCTTATAATTTATTTTATTATTTTTTCGCCAACCAAACAACATCAAAACAAGTTTTCTTAAAAAATCACTCATATCATTCTATAATAAGTTGACAACTCATCTTCATTTCTTTGATTTCCTTCTTTTATTAGCAAACCAAACACTCCTAAAATAATTTTTTGATTTAATAGTTTTCCATTTCTTTGATTTTCAATTTTTTTTAGGCAAACTAACAGGCCCTAAAAAAATTTAAACGTGGAGACCTGAAAAACGAGTTTTTGTAATTAATAAAACGGGACTTATCTAATTGAGATCTCATTTCACTCGCATTCCAATTGTTGATCGGGTCGGGTCCATGAAAAACCCACTCGCTCATCCACCCGAATACAATTGCGTACAGAGATAAGCTCCGATCTCAGTCACCCCCACGTTCACTGATCGCTCTTAAACCCTCGTCCATTCTCGCCGCCGCCGTCACCGCCGCCGGAGATCGCGATTCGTAGTTACCTCTATTGATCCCGCCACCAATCACATCCTTTCGAGTGCGAGTCCAGAATCTCCTTTTTTGGTAATCTTTCACTGTAACAATCTTAAAACAGCGAATTTGCAAAATTAGGGTTTAAATTTTTTTAAATTTTTTTTTAGTTTGTATTCATTTTATTAAGATTTGATTTTTCCATTGATTTGACTGGATTTATTTGCCTTACTGCACTGCAGAAGAAGTTGGTTTATTTCTAGTGTGATAATTTTCATCTTAATTAGCGAAATCATGCTGTGCTTTGTAATAAAAAAAATGTAAAATTGATGCTAACTCATAAGTAATTTTAATCTCATCATGTGAAATTAATGAATTTGTCTTTTTTCAAGAATACTAGGGAGAAGAATGGCTTTACTTTTACACATCCTCCATCACTGAATAACGGGTCAATATTAATGTTCATTTGTTATGAATAAACACAATTAAAGTACTAAGCTGGCATCAACCATAGCAGGCCTAAATTCTTCCTGCATTGGTTTGTTCCTGATAGCATTGATCACTGCCAGAATTTAAATAATATATAGAACAGAAAGCAGTTCTTGTAAGAGGAAAAACTATGTACATAGCATAAGCGGCTGTTAGTGACGTTCAACGGAAACAGCAGGATTCATACATCGGGAGGTCAACAAAAGATGATAGGTCTGTAAGTTTGGATTTGGTAGGGATGGATCCAGAAACAATGACTCGATAGCATACACCTGATGGCTTGCGATGATTGGAGTTTAATACACAGATAATATAGCAAAAATAAAATTGAACTCTTTCATAACCCCTTTAGGGAATTCTATCAGTGATATTTTGGGGGGTGCCCATGAGGAGCTTGCTTCGGGAATGTTTTCATCAGTCTATCTTTTTTCCATTTTTGGTGGTTTTCTATCAGGATGTGAACTAGAATTTGAGCTCACAGTTATAGGAGATAAAGAAGATTGAGAGCTATTTCCCTAGTGGTGAGTGCCCCCATGGGTTTTGGCGGGCGCTTGTTTGCCAATTTGTCAACCCATAGTTTTCTCTACACGATCTGAGATCACTATGCTTTTTTTTAAATTTAATTATAGTAGCTAATCGATGTTATCATCCTTTTTCCCTTAATATTTTTCATATACAACGGCAGACCAAAATGAAGATAAATATGCATGAATAAACATGTAATTTGCAGATAAACAAAAAAATTTTCCACGTCTGGACTTAAGCATAGGATTCCCACATTATAGCTGCCATCATAACACAACATGGGATTTCACAAAAATCATAGATAACGCAAGATAAGAACATGATTTACAACGCAACATGGGATGATCAAGCTCCTTGTGTAGGCAACACCAGGACTTAAAGAATCTGTAGGAGTTGTCATTATCTCTGTTAACTTTGTTATTCTCTTTGAAAAGGTTATTGATTTTCATGTGCATGCTTTCATGTGAACCTGTTAAGAGAAGTATTGTACCAACCGGTCAAGGAAAACTAAGGGAAGACCTTAACTAACATTAGTTCTTAAGTGGATGTGAGGAAATTCGTAATACTGAAGTCCTTAGGGAAAACATGGAAGAATTATAGCATGCATAGAAGTGTTGACTATTTGAAATGTCACACACAGGTCTTGTGGTCTCCGTGCATATTTGATAACATATGGCTAAAACAAGTTAGATATAGATCGGGTCTAAGTTTCAAGCTGAGCTAGTTGATTGGATTCATACTTGAACTTGAGGTATGTATCTCACTGGATCCTATATTTGTATTCAAGTTGTTAGATCTTGGATTCAACCTCTCAACCTATTATTTCTTCTTATTAGTCCTTTTTTAAACACTGTTGTGCAAATTTCACTTTTAGACATGCTACAACTCTGTATATAGTCTTAAAAAAAGGTTAAGTTATTTATGCAGCTATTAACTTCCTGCCTTCAATTGTTCTTATAGGTAGTTTCTTTCTGATATGATCTAACAGAGTTTCTCTCTCCTTAAAATGTCTGGTTTTAATCATGTTAATCGCTTAGTACGCTAAATGCAACAAACAATATTACAGAATTTATCACATCTTTGCTAAAGCATAGTGAGACTCGTTTAGAACAGGTATGCATTTAAAATTAGGTTTAATTGCAGATATCGTAAGGGGATAGCTACTTATTACCCCTAAACTATTTACCACTTTGAACCTCCAGATCTCAAAACAGAGTTATCTCCCCTTTATCTTACCTGTCACGTGGATTTTTCATGGGAGGACAAGGTCTTTGATGACTGAGAGACCTGTTGAACATGCACCCCTGTATACATGTACTTTTATCATCACGCGTTGGGTGTCTAAGTGCTAACAAAAGAGTTTGGGGGTAATAAGTGTCTAACCCGCTATAATGTATGGGGAGTGTGCAACTAACCATATCTGTAAATAACCCTTAAAAGTATCATCATATTTCTTATGGATTGTGCTTATTGCATTGTTTCTTTGTAGTTAGACAGGACCGGAAGCAACAATGGTGATCCCACCACCAGTGAGACCAGCGAGAATCACCAATTACCTGAAACCCTACGTACTGAGAATGCATTTCTCAAACAAATACGTCAGTGCACAGGTTGTCCACACCCCAACAGCGACAGTGGCATCTTCTGCAAGCTCGCAGGAGAAGCTGCTGAGGCCGAGCATGGAGTCTACTCGTGATGTTGCAGCCGCCGCTGCAAAGATTGGGAAGATCTTAGGGGAGAGGCTGCTGATGGCGGGGATTCCTGCTATATCGGTGTTCTTGAAGAGGGAGCAGAAGTATCATGGGAAAGTTAAGGCGATTGTTGATTCCGTGAGGGATGCTGGTGTTAAGCTTCTCTGAATTGTTCTCATCTCATTTTGATATTGGAATCTGTGCATGCCTCTACATTATCCATGTATCAGTTCTTTGGAGTTGAATCAAGACTCAATAACTTTAGATGTTATTGAACATTGATACAATCAAGCAGACTTTTTCTTTTGAGTTCAACTGCTTTACTTCTAGCTTTGCTTCTCAACTACTAATAAGTCTCTGCTAAGAAAAATAATTTAAGGACCCAAAATATGGGACCAATGGAGGGGACAAGTGAGGTGTCCCCTCCCTATTGCATAATGAGTTGGCACAACCAACTCATTATGCAATAGGGAGGGGACACCTCACCTGTCCCCTCCATTGGTCTCATATTTTGGGTCCCCGTAGTAACACTCCTCTGCTAAATAGTTTTATTATAAATGCATGTGCATAGAACTTCAGTGCGCATTCTAGCGAACTCCATAGTTTCTGCCAAGGTAGGCTTTTCATGAATGTCAATAAAATCTTTAAAGCAGAAAAAGTACAGCTAACAGCATGTTATGCGATGCAGGCTTTAACTAAAATTTCAAGTCACATATGACATGATGAAACTTAACTAAGTATTCAGATCCCTGGTTTATACGTAGGCTGCTTGAATCCTACTATTCTGAGCTATCTAACATGCGATATTATCAATCAAATATTAAAATTAGAGAAGTTTGTGAAATGAAAAATTCTTTAAGGACCCAAAATATGGGACCAATAAATGGGACAAGTGAGGTGATGGCCAACTCATTATCCAATAGGAGGGGGACACCTCACTTGTCCTCTTTATTGGTCCCATATTTTGGGTCCCTGTAGCAAAGCTCTTGTGAAATAGATCAAATCTTAAAATTAATTCGCAAAATTGATCGATTTTCGGCCACGTTAGCATGACTGGATGAAAAATCTGACGTGGCTGAAAATCAGGTGGCTCACGATCTCGGGAAAGGGATCCATCATTTCCAAAGCGTTCAAATTTTCCTCTCCAGTTCCCAGCGCTGTGCCAGCAGCTCGTCAGCCGCGTCCCCATCTGTTTCCACGACCTTTTTTCAGTTCCCTCTTTGATAACCGCCATCCAACCAAAAAGCATCTGTTTTTTTTTTCTTCCCATCTTTTAATTCTATATATATTATGCATAAAAGTCTAGGGCTTTCAAACCCTAAAAATGAATTCTGATCAAGGGCGGACCACAGTTACAAGGAGAAAGAAAGGTCGTTCGACGGATAGGCAGTATCTTCGACGATGTTTTAATTGTGGTGATGATCGTCGTCATTCGATCAAATCTTGCCCTGAAGGGGCATTCATCTGCTTCAGATGTCATGAGGAGGGTCATGTGGCCAAACATTGCAGATCTCATCTTCGTCCCTTAGAGATGAAGGTGGATTTATCAGATTCAGCTACTCATCTTTGCAATAATGCTAAGGCGCTTGCTGCTTTTGCTGTCCTTACAATTACTGAAGGCTCGCCATCAATAGAGTTAATCAGGACCCAATTGGCATGGCTATTCCGGTGGCAACAGTGGATTGGTAAGGTGATTCCTATTCGTGGTAACACTTTTATAGTAGAGTTCCCGTCGACCTTTCATTTGTCAGGAGTTGTTGATGAAAAGCTCTTAGATTTTGAACAATTTAAGGGTTGGTTTGCTCCCTGGACTGAGAATGTAGGAATGAAGATTGTTGGTTCTGCATTTTATCAATGGATTAAATTTAAAAACCTTCCCTTTCAATTCTGGTCCATCGATATTCTGGAGAAGATTGTGGGTACGTTTGGTGAACTGGTAAGGGGATGCAAAAATATTAAAGACAAATTGAATGGCCAGGATACACGTGTTCTTGTTAAGGTTAAGGGTCCAGAGTGCATCCCTCAGTCGGTCGTATGCTCGTATACTTCTCAGATAGACTCCTTCACTAGAGAAGTGAGATTGGAGATTGCCCCGATTGGAGTTGGTCGACGAGGGCCTGAAGTCATTGACAATCATATGTCTGTTTTGGAAGTTCAAGGAGATATTGTCATTGAAACTCAATGGGCAGATCAGGTGACAGCTCCGATGAAAACTTCGCCGGAGAACGGGCAGAACCAGGTTGAAGCAGCAAACTTTGTTGGAGATAGGGGTAAATCAGTTGCTCCACATTTTTTGAATTCAGCGAAGTTTCAGGAATTTCCAGATCATCATCAGCCTCCAATGGAAACAATTCTAAATCCTAGCTTTGCGGTTATGGTAGAGGATCCTAAGGCCCATAATGAGGAAGATTCCTCTGAAGATAGCTCGGATTCCATTCTAGATTCCCTAAGAGATTTTCCGCTTGATTTGGTTAAGCAGTCTTGGAAGGGGCGTACTATTTATATTGAGCGTTCAACCTGGAACAATTATCTTGGCGGGAAAGCGGATTCCTCGAATTCAAATTCAGCTACATCATTCCCGCCAAAATCTGCTCAAACGCCAGCTATTCAGCCAACATCCTCTATTCCACCAGGCTTTTCTCGTCGACCAGGTTCAGTGACATCTTCACGTTCAATTAGGAAGACTATCTTCGGCAATAAGCATAAGAGCTTCATGAGGCAATCTACTTCTGCTAAGAAGGTGGCTCGTTCGTCTAAAAAAGGTACTAAGCCTCCTTCCTCTGCTTCTTCTTCTACGGCTCTTCCAATAAATTCTTTAGCTAAAGATGTTATTGAAGATATTGCTGCCAATTGTGGTATTACTCTTCCTGATCAGTATTTAGAACTTTTAAAGATTAAGGAAGTAGAGACGAGCAGACAGTCTTAGTCTTTGGTTTAGTTTGTAGTTCAAGGTGGTGTTATATTTTTATCATCATGAAATTCACAACTTGGAATGTTCGAGGTCTTAACGGCCCTTTTAAAAGACGTTTGGTCGGAGACTTCCTTTCTCGCTCTGCCATTGACATTGTTGGAATTCAGGAGAGTAAGCTGTCCAATCCTTCTCCTAGGACACTTCAGACAATAGGTGGTAAGAAGCTTATTCATTGGTGTCATCTTGATTCAAATGACTCTAGAGGTGGAGTTTTGGTAGGGTGATCTGACGCTTTTTCTATGATCAAATCTCATGTTGGTATCTTTTCAGTTTCAGTGTTACTCCACCACAAACCATCCAATTGGAAGTTCACCTTTACCTCGTTATATACCCCTATTGATAGGGATGATAGAGAAGTCTGTTGGTGGGAACTTAATCGTATTCGTATTATCTTTCCTGGACCTTGGGTAATTAGTGGTGATTTTAACGTTACTTTATCCTCTGACGAAAGAAGTGGTAAAAATGGGTCCTATAGAGAAATTAAATCCTTCAGAGATTTTGTCTCCTTTGCATCTCTTATTGACCTCCCTCTCTCTGGTAGAGCTTACACTTGGTCTAATAAGTGATTAAATCCCTCGATGGTCAGACTCGACAGATTTCTCATATGCTCAGAATGGGACAAGAAATTCCCTTCATGTTTGCATTTTGCAATTTTCTCCACCGGCTATGGGATCAGATCATTCTCCAATTGTTCTCGATAGTGGAGGAATTAGCCCAGTTTTACCTGTTTTTAGATTTGAAAGGAGTTGGCTTCATAATCCTGAGTTCATCCCATTCATTAATAGCTGTTGGAATTCTGTTAAATGTCATGGATCTCCTGTTGATATTTTTATTTTAAAGCTTAAGCTTCTTAAGAGAAGAATTAAATGGTGGAACAAAAATATTCTTGGTTCTATATCCTCTAGGAAAGCTGATACGCTATCAAAAATTAACTCTCTTGATCTGCTTGAAGAGCAAAGGCCCCTTTATGATTTGGAATTTAATGATAGGAAGTCCCTTCAGTCTTCTTTCTCATCTATAATTAAAGAGGAGGAAACCTATTGGCACCAACTATCGAGAATACAGTGGTTAAAAGAGGGAGACGCCAATACATCTTTTTTTCATAAAACAACAAGTTTTCATAGGAACGCCAATTATATTGCCTCTGTGATTTTTTAGGGAAAGGAATTCTCTACAAATCATGATATATCCCAAGCCTTCTGTGATTACTACATGGAACTCTTTGGTCAGGAAAAAAGAAACAACATACCAATAGATTGGTCATACTTATACCCTCACAAAGAGACAAATCTTGACTCTTTAGAAGATCCTTTCACAGAGACTGAGATCAAGAGTGCTGTTTTTGGGATGAATGCAAATAAAGCTCCAGGACCTGATGGATTCTCTATGGCTTTTTATCAAACTTTCTGGGATTTGCTCAAATCTGATCTTGTGGCTATTATGATTTATTTCCAACAAAATCCTTCTAATCTTCATAGGGTGAATAAAGTTTTTATCACTCTTATGCCTAAGCTCAAGGATAGTGTTCAGATGAAGGATTTCCGACCAATTAGCTTGATAAATTGCCTCTTCAAAATTTTCACAAAGTCACTAGCTAACAGATTATCTCCTCTTATACCTAATCTGGTTGCCCCTACTCAAGCGGCTTTTCAATCAGGAAAATCAACACTTGATTCAGTTGTTTTGGCTAATGAGATGATACATTTTTGTTCTAAAAGGAAGAAGGAAGTTGCTATGTTAAAAATTGACTTCTCAAAAGCTTTTGACTCCATAAACTGGAATTTCCTCCTCAACTTGCTAAAAGCAAGAGGCTTTGGCACAAGATGGTGCTCTTGGATCTATCATATTGTTTCTTCATCTAATTGTGTTGTCAAAATCAATGGTGTTCCCTCCAAATTCTTTTCTTGTAAAAGGAGTCTTAAGCAAGGAGATCCTTTATCTCCTATGCTTTTCAACATTGCAGTTGATGTTCTCAACAAAATGATTAACAACAATGTAAAAGATGGTATTCTATCTAATCTTGGAATCAAGGTACCTCTAAATCAGTTGAGAATTCTTCAATTTGCAGATGATACCCTGCTTTTTGTTAAAAGCTCCTCAGTTGATATTTCTGTTCTCAAAACAATTCTTTACATCTTTGAGGAAGCATCAGGCTTGGGTATAAATTATTCAAAGTCTTCTCTGATATATTTTGATAAGATACCTTCAAGGAGTCAGTCTCTCTCAAACTTACTAAGCTGCAAAGTTGAGCATCTCCCCATCAAATATCTTGGCTTGCCGTTAAAATATGGAAAGCTAAAAAAATGATACGAGTCGCCGTGCGAGCACTCTTTGGTCGCGGAATTACCAAAAGATGGGTTGAGAAGAAGACAACTAAAACACAAGAACAATTCAGTATGGCGAAGGAAAATACCTTCTCTAGATTATGAAGAATCAATTATTACAAATCTCTCCCTCACAATCTCACTAGAATCGAGAACAACCTCTCAATCCTCTCTAAACCCTAATACAATGATTAGAATCTCTCTTAATTCCCTCTGATTCTAAGATATCATAGATCCTCACAATCTAAACCCTAATCCTTTTGATTAGGATCTCACTAGAATCGAGAACAACCTCTCAATCCTCTCTAAACCCTAATACAATGATTAAAATCTCTCTCTGATCTAAGATCTCATAGATCCTCACAATCTAAACCCTAATCCTTTTTTTATTAGGATCTCACTTAGACCTAAAATCCTTTAGATCTACATCTGGCCTCTCACCTCTCTTCTGATTCTCCGATGATGTTTAGAAACCCTAAACAACACTTTATATAGGTGTACAAACGTGGATGGCAATCTGGTAAATAACCAGACCAAACCCCAACAGGAATTCGTGCAAACAGAAACCCAAACGAACCAGGAAATCTTCGTGAGTCGACTCATGAACAGTTATGAGTCGACTCATGACCACATATGAGTCGACTCATAACTGATGAGTCGTCTGGTCAGAGACTTTTGACAAAACGGTTGGGTTTCGTGAGTCGACTCATGACAGGCATGAGTCGACTCAACCTGATGAGTCGACTCACAGAGCTGAAAACTGGATTCTTCGAATCTGCTGCTCGTCGTCTCGTTCCACGCTTCCACCTGCGTTCCACTGTACTGATTGACACCTCTATTCTCATGCTATCATGAGAATCATCTATCCTCAAGCTCCCATGAGGATCGCTAAGTTCCGAAGAGAAGATACACACGTATCATGCTTTGATTCTTCGTTCTTCCGACTCGCTTTATGCTCCATCCTGTGCTCTGCCGTATCGCTTCACACCACTATTCTCAAGATATCATGAGAATTACCTATCCTCAAGCTCCCATGAGGATCACTAAGCTCCCGAAACAGAGAAGAAGATACACACGTATCAAAAAAATCAAACTGGCAACTACTTTTAGATACTCTTCACAAAAAACTTGCTACATGGAAGAGGACTTTCCTGTCTTTTGGAGGAAGACTACTTCTTTTAAACTCTGTGCTCACCTCTATCCCCTTATACTTCATGTCTTTCTATAAGCTACCTAGTTGGCTTATCAAAGAAGTTGATAAAATTAGAAAGAGTTTTCTTTGGACAGGCAGTGCTGAAACTAATGGTTTTAAATGTTTGGTAAATTGGAAAAAAGTCTGTTTAAGTAAAACTGAGGGAGGCTTGGAAGTTAAAGATATCAAATCCTTCAACATTGCTCTTCTATCAAAATGGCTTTGGAAATGTCTTGATTCTAATTCTCAAACTGGTAATTTTCTACGTCAACTTTACAATTTCAGAGGTTCTACAACTCAAATGATGCGCATCACTCTAACTCATCCTTTTGGAATGACATCATATCTCACAAAGAGGGTTTCCTACATCACATCTCATGGTTACTTGGCTCTGGTGACAATATTAGGTTCTGGGAGGATAAATGGGCTAGCTTTAATTCCTTAGCTAGCATATATCCAACTTTATACAAGTTATCTTTCTCTTCCAATGTTTCTGTTCGTAGTCAGGGTCTCTTTCAAGGCAATGTGTGGCATTGGAGCCCCTTGTTGAAAAGATGTATATCTTCTATTTCTCAAACAGCAAAGTCAGACCTCATGCACTTAATAGAGAGTTTTCATATCTCTAATCAACCTGACATACCCAAATGGTCTCTTGCAACAAATGGTATTTTCTCAGTGAAATCTCTATACAATTTTCTGAACTCCAGAGGTATTCTGACTCCTATCTACAAAGTCATTTGGAAAAATGTAATTCCCAGCAAGGTTCGTATCTTCACTTGGCTCTTATCCATCAATAGATTACATACAAAGGAAAATCTTTTATCCAAAGGATGGCGGGGGTGATCCTACATGCATTCTCTGTGGGATGGAATCAGAATCAAGAAATCATCTTTTTTTCTCTTGTCCAATATCAAATCAAGTATCGAAACACTTCAAAGAATATTACCTTCCTTTCCTCTGGCCAACATCCATTGATGAATTACTACAAACTGTAGAGAATCTTCAAGGAAGTAAAGGACACATTTGGCGTGCAATATTGTCAACAGTTTGCTGGAATCTATGGACTACTAGAAACAAAGTTATCTTTGAAAAGATTCATTTCTCGTACAAGTCTATTATTAATCAAGTTATTTCTGGTTTGTGCAATTGGACAGATGCGGGAAGTGGGACGGCTACACGACATCTATCTGCAAGGCTTAAAGAACATCCGATATCAAGGGCTAGTGTGTGATGGGGGATTGAAGTAATCTTTGACACAGTGAGAGCAAGTTGTAAAGTTTTGTTTGTTTATAAGCTAGATACCATTTTTATTTTCATCTCTTTTTGTTGATTATAGAAAGTCTAGCTTCTGCTAATTATATGTGTTGGGAATTTAACGCCGAAACCCCTAATGCAACGGAAACGCAGAATAGAGAACAGTACACCAAGTTTAACGAGGTTCGGCAACTGCCTACGTCCTCGGGAGCCACACAGTCAATTTCTTATTTAATCTAACAAGAAATTACAAGTTAAGAGCAAATCCCTAAACTGGGATTCCTCAAACAAACACTGTAGCTACAGTGTTAATACCCACTTTAAAACCCCCTTTCTGTTTTCTCTCTCTCTCTAATTCTTTTCTTAATCTCCCCTCAAAAACCCTATTTGAGAGCTGGAGATTATCAAAATCGCTACTGCGATTTGGGGATTGAACGCTGCTGCGTTTTATGGCTTTTCACCGCCGCCAGAGGGATCGGGGGAGAGAGCAACACCCTAGGGCTCGTGGGGGGCTTCTTTTATAGCCGAATCGATGACAGGCTGGCGACAACCTGTCGCCAGCGGTGCGATGGACGCGGGTGTGGGACTCTGATCGCGGACGTCGGAGTTCTTGAACGCGGGGGTCGCCATCTCCCAAACGCGAGGGTCATCGAGCTGGGACGCCATGGTTAGGTTCGCGTTCGCTGAGGGTCGCGTTCGCCCAATTTCGAGCTCAACTGCTCGAGCTGCCTGCGCCATCCTGGAGCTCGTCGGAGCTCCTCCGCCGTCGGAGGTTGGTATCCACCCCAACCTAACAATCTCCCACTTGGAGACCAAAACCGACGCCAACAGGCTATCTCATCAAACTCCTCTTCTGTGTGGCTCCGCCCTCATCATCTATGCATCTATCATGAAAGGCCAACTGAAGTTGCACACAACTCCAGTTTCTGGAAGTGCTGCCTCTTGTACAACCATATCCGCTGGATCCTTCTTCTTGGATATTCTGATTGGAATCTTTGACAACTCGCACGCCGGCTCTGTATCTTCTGGAACCTTCTGCTCCTTTTTCACTCGGGATACACCAGCTTGTTGTGACGTGCCTTTCTTCCGATGGGACTTAGCTAAGTTCCCATGTCTGGTTGGAATCAGAGATTTCATCTCTTTCTTTCGCGCAAACTCCCACGTTGTCGCATCCCACTCTGACAAGCTTTCATCAAAGTTTCAGATCTCCTCCATTTGTCAGCAACACTATTAATTCATGTATCTGCTGTTAGCCAAGCAGTGAGGACGAGATATTTTCCTCATGTCGGACGCTGGTGGTCGGGCTCCTGCGCACCGTTCTGGTCAAACAGGCTCTATCTGGCTGAGGACTTCCTGCTTGGGTATCTCTCTCTTTTTCGCTT